CTCTCTCTCAAATAAATAATAATAAAAAAAAAAAACAGTGGTGTATCTTTAAGCAACTTTTAGAATGTTCCACCAGGTACCGTTCAGTCCAGCAAACAGTATTACACACTAAATGCTAGTCTCCGAGTTGGCCCCAGGGGCTCAGACTTGGTGAAGCCCTGGATCCTCCCTTCCTGGGCGCTCACTAGCCAACCCTTGGAGAAATCCTCCTCACTGCCCTCCTCTCCCCCAGTACTCTCCAGCTCAGAACATCTCCACTGGCACATTTTGAGCTCATCGTCCTCATCCTCCTCCTGACCAGCCCACTCTGTGCTGCATGTCTCTTGACATTTATGGTAACTCGAGATTCCTTCTCAAGGGGAGAAGGGAGAGATGATGAGAGGTATGAAAGACCTGATCAAATGCAAGTTCACTCCAGTCTCTCCTAGGCCTCCACTTCACTTACCTGACTTCTGTTACTCGGCGGCTTTGGGTGTGGGAGATTTGGAAGCAAATGCCCCATCCTGCTGGGCTAGGTTTTGGGCAAATGTTAGTGAATAGTCTCTGAGCATGAGTCTAGACCCAATGGGAAGTAATGCTTTAGCATAAAAATGTGGAAATGTCTAGAAATCATAAATCCCATCTGTCAAGGCCAAGATTGAAATCCTGACTCCACCTGTCTCCAGTATTTGTCTCTTTAGGATCAGGTACCTTAAAAGACCTCTCATTTCATTTTTAAAACTTTCTAAAGGAAACTGGATCAGATTAGAGCACCCCCAACTTGGTCAGTTCCTGTGAGGCCACAGGATGAGGACGTGCTGCCATTAGGCTGCAGGCCCTGCATAGTCCTGTCTGATGGCAGTTAGTCAGTCATCTGCTGTCACAGTAGGGCTGAGCAAGGCCGGGCTAAGACATTCGTGTGCTAGGTCCTGAGACTCTCTTGACTTTTTTTTTTTAAAAAGACTCAATGTCTTAAAATAGCATGGTAGCTGAAACAACAGTACCAACAACAACAATAATAGCTTGCCATTCCTGAGAATGGTTGTTTGTTTAAAATCCGAGGCCTGGGTTCTGGCAGCAGTTCGTTTCCACGAGCGGGGCTCCCACAAGAGTTGCTCTAATGGAAATCATATGGTCTCGTCGTGACCGGAAACACAGGGGTCTGTGAAGCGTTCTCCCACCCCCTCCGTAAGGAATTTTCTGACAGTAACTACACACCCTAGAGCTGGAAATAGGTGGTGTAGACCTGATCATTTGAAGAAGCTTAGGATGCTACTGTGTTCCTATTCGAATAATAACGATGAGTCCGCGCTTTGGGCTTGGCTCTCCAGTCTAACCTACATGCAGTCTGCCCTCCCCTCGCCAAGTCTGAAGAGGACATTTTAACTGCCTTGTTGAGAGAAGGAGTCGGAGAGTTGGGGCGGCCGCAGCGTAGTTCTCTGCATTGCTGGGATCCCCACGCTGCCCTCTGAATGGATAGTCCTCAGTCAGCTCTGGACTCCCCATCTTCTCAGTAGTTCTTGCCGTGCTGGCTGGCTGTGGAAAAACTCACCAGGTCCCCGTGCACCCATAGGCTCAGCTGCTTTCCCCGTTGCTCCATAGAGTAGTCCCCACATCACACTCGGGAAAGTTCTCTGTCTCTAGTCCCCTTCCCATACTGAAAAGCCTTCCCAGAGCCACAGTTTGGGGGAAGGGGGGAGGATGGAGAGGATGAGGGAGACGCAGAATGAGCAGGCCTGGGGCGGCTTATATGTGGGAAGGAGTGAAATGACCCTTTCGACCTTGGGTCACGTGCACTCTAGACTTCTGGACAGTCCTGAATGGCAGAGTCACTAATGGCTTTATGACAGTCGCCTTTTTCTGACTCCTTCGGCAGCCCCGGGTAGCATCCTTGGCCTCCTTGATTTCAGATTTTGACAGGTGATAAAAGCACATACTGAGATCGCTGCTTCACAGAGTCCAGATTCATAACTATCGACTGATGTGATTTTTTTTTTCTTTGCTGAGACGCTCCCTCATGTGTTTGCTGTTACTTTAATGGATTGCTTCCTGATACATTCTCAGCCCCGGGCACTTGCCCTTCAGTCTGGCAAACTGCAGCTTGACCTGAATGGAATCGGATTCAGACCAGTCAGTTGGCAACACGACTCACTTTTTTCCCCCTAGAAAATATAGTCAGTGTAAGCAGGAACTACGAGTGTTCTAATTTGCATCTTCGTGGAGTTTAACTTTAATCAGGATACTCCAGGCTGTTTCACTTCTGTTCTCTCCATTTTTGACATCTTAAACACCCTGCAGGTACAGTGGCTGGCCCCGTGCTTCGGAGAGCTGAATGGAAAGTGCTTGGTGATGATGATGTATTTGTCAGTAGTAATTACACTGATAAACAGAGAAGGCCTCCAGTTGTTCTGGTCTATCATGACCCTGCCAGTAACCCATTGTTCTCCCAAAGGGTCTGCAGTGGGTTTTCATGGGATATCTCCTACCGGTTCTCTTTCTTCCTCTCTCCCTCTGAGGGCCACGTGTGCGGTTTGGGGCAGGAAATCCCCACTGTTCTTGTTTCCCCCCAGCTCTGGTTGGAAAGACATCAGAGTGTCCAGGGCAGAGCCCAGGCCTGAGATCCCAGCAGGCCAGACAGGCAGCAGATGCCGGTTGCTTTTTTCCACTTTGTATTTACCATTCCCTTGCTTAGAGTTTGGGGGACCAAAACCCACAGGTTATTGAAAGCATGAGAGTAATTTGACTTCTGACTGGATGGGGGCTCGGGGTTGTTTGGTGTTTTGTTTCTGATTTGAAAGCAGCTGTTTGGTAACCACTAACTCTTCCCTTATTCTTTTCTTGCAGATGAGCTCACAGTGCCTGCACTTTACCCCAGTAGCCCTGAAGTGTGGGCCCCGTACCCTCTGTACCCAGCGGAGTTAGCGCCTGCTCTACCTCCTCCTGCTTTCACCTATCCCGCTTCACTGCATGCCCAGGTAATTTATACCCATCGGCCACGACTTCACTCCCTCCACCACCGGTCCTTTCAAACCTGGTTCCCCAGAGCACACCATACAACTAACACCTATCCAGCTAACAGACCCCCCTTCCAGAGATTAATGACCCCCTCTAAATCAAGCTGACACTCCTCCAGGACTTGAGGACCGTCTGACAGCAATGACATCACCCACTGCCTGATGTTTGCCCCAGTGACACCTCTCTCTTCCCTAATGATCTCACCCTCATACCACACACGAGAGACGGGGTGCAGGTTCCCCCCCAGCCCCCAGCCAGCCCGAGGGCGTCCCTAGAACTTAGTCGCGTGCGCCTGGTCGTGCCGGAGCTGCCGAGGGAGGCGCGCGCTGGTTGCCGGAGTTCTGTGTTTGTGCGTGGAGGGATTTCGTCTCTCGGGTTCTAGGAGAGCTAGTGGCCAGAGGGGAAAGTTGGAAGCTTCCAGGAAGACCGTGTGCTAGCTTACAGATGTTACAGGAAAGATTAGGATTCCTTTTTTTCCACCTTTAGAAAAGGAGGTACAGTGTAGTGTGGAGAATGTAATTACACGTCAAGGTGAAGGTCTTTGTCTGGACCCAGTTCCCTTCTTAGTTAAATAAAACTCCCTTGTTTCTTCACAAAGATTACTACCCACGTCCCAACCCTCCCTCTCCCCTTGGCGGGGATGGGGGGGGATGTTGCTCTTAGTTTTGCTCTTAGTGCAAGCAGTAGTAATGAAGTAATGTTAGGATTCAGCGAGGATCACCAGCAAAGAGGAGAGAATATAGATTTCATTCGTTTTACTGCACGTGTAACTCCTCTAAAAGCAGGAAAGCCTGGTTTCTGAAAAACCGTTGGCCTGGACAGACAGGTGGGGTTTTTGTTTGTTTTGCTTAGTGTTTATTTACAAGGCTGGATGAAATACACAGCTTCCCAGAAAACTCTTCCTTCTGACGGGAAACTTCCATGTTGTACAGAACTCACTGTGTTGACTAAAGCCCGGACCAGCAGCCCCCTAGCTGACGTCCTCGCGGCCAGGGGCTCAGGCGGGGTGCCGGCTGCATACGTGCCCATTCCGTCCAGCCGAGCCGTCCGTGCTCTGTGCACACGTGCACGGCCCAGCCTCCCAGGCACCGAGCAGGCAGACTACAGAGAGAGGCCCCCGAAGTGACGACCCTCGGTGTTGGCAGAAGGAGGTAGTGAGGGAAAAGGAGAGGGTGACGGTTGAGAGCTGCTGGCTCGGGACAGGACTTAGAGCAGCCCCAGGATTCGGAGCCCGATGGCCCGGGGTCCACATCGGCCGTGCTTTCTGCTTTCTCTTCCCTCGCTGCTGCCTCGGCCTCAGTCCTCGTCAGCGCTCGGGCTCCTCGCAGGGGCCAGGGGAGGGAGAAGGGATAAAACCTAAACCTGTGGCTGTCTTCTGCTGAGTCATCGAAATGTTCGCAGTGGCCTTGGGGATAACTTTGTAGGTGATGGGGAGCAAGTCAAAGAGGCCCTCTCTGTTTGTGGGCCCGCCCCCACCATCTGTGGAGATGTCTTCGCTCCTCTTCCTAGACCGCCTAAAGAAGGATTAACTGACAGTTGAGGCAAATGTTCCGAATACCATGGAAGGGTGCCAGGTGTGCAGAGTATTGTGAATATCACTGGCTTTGTTAATCAGCAGCAAAGCCTTTCCCCATTGTCCTGGAAAAGCAAGAATTGACAGTGGCCAGAAAGGAGTGGGGACGGTGGCTTTGGGGCCTTAATAACATCCTGGTAACTTGCCTTGCTTCGTATAATGATTGAAATCCAAAGTCTATCCGGGGGTGTATGGGAGAAGGAACTGAAGAGTCTTAAGAGATTAGAAAGCCCATGCCCATCGTGAGAAAGGTTAGAGACAGTGCCAAGATTAGATGGACTCAACCATTTGACTTAGTGGGATGTTTTGCCCAGGGTGGCGCCCTTCCCTGTGAGTTCTGTCTTGATCTTGAGACTTTCCCAACCTGGAATCCACTTGGCTCCGCCACATCGGTCCTAGAGTTGGTGGAACTTTCATCTGAAATCAGTGAGATCCTTGTGCTCAACCCCAAAACTTGTTTGGAGTCATTCCCAGTGCAAGCTTGGGTTCTGTATCCAAGGCTCATGAACAGATACGGTTATTTAAATTCCTTTGTCCAAGATGAGAATCCTAGAATGAACTGGTAGAGGCCTTACCGATCCAGCAGGTCTGGCCCATTTTACAGTTGAGGAGACAGACTGGAGAAGATGGAGAGTTCTCGACAGTCGCGAGTGGCTCTACCATGGCTGGAGCCAGGTCACCTGACTCCCAGGCCTTGCTCTTTCCACGCCTCAGTGCTGGCTCACCAAAGACTTACTCTTTGTTGGAATTTTGGAAAGGCCTCACTCCACTGACTCCTTGGAACTTTCTTCTCTAAGTAGATGAGAAGCCTGTAAGAAGAGACTTGGAGGCAAAGACAAGGGAATAAGAACTTAACCTTCACTCAAAGGGCCTGAGAGAATTTTTATTAACTGGAGGTAGAGCAGTGGGGAAGACTAAAACGGAACATCCCCTTAGTGGATGGTTCCGGTTTTGTTTGGAGATCTTACTGTATGTCTTTGGAGAAGCTTTTATATTATTTTGCTTTTCTTAGCAATGTTGTGCTCTGTTTTGAGACTTGGATTTTTTTTTTCTTCTAGTGTTTCTCTCCTGAGGCAAAGCCCAACACACCTGTCTTTTGTCCACTTCTCCAGCAAATTAGATTTGTCTCTGGGAATGTGTTTGTAACATACCAACCTACTGCAGACCAGCAGAGGGAGCTCCCATGTTGAATTTGCTTGTTAGCTATTTTTCCCCCATTTTGCAAAAATTATTTCTTGGTAACATTTGAGAGATTTCAATAAAAATTTTAATCAGAGCAAAAATTATCTCAAGTAGACTGCAGCGTTTTGTTTTCATGGTGATGCGAGTTTGGAGCTTTGAGATTGTGGGAGAATTGGGCCCATGAGGCTGAGCACACACCACGTGGGAGAAGGCCTCAGAGCGTCCAGGGGAGGCGTGGCCCAGAGCCGAGGCCTCCCTGCTGCTCCTGCTCTCTTCTTGGGCTCCTGCGCCATCAGGAGCCGCACATTGGAAGATTCTCTTTCTAGCATGTGTGGGTCGCCTCTACCAGGAGATCTTGCATCAGCAGGGGTGGTGTGTCTGGCTGTCAGAAGCCTGTGTGAAGAAAGAGCTGTGTTTTCCAGTCTGTCCGCCCTGATCCCGAGGAAGGAGGACCCAAGGGGCAGAAATTGTCATTGAAGATCAGGAGTCGCATCTTCTGGTTCTGCTCCAGCTTCCGTCTGTAAATCCGAAGATACTTATTTTTTGAGGCCTCATTGCAGAAGGTAATGGGACTGTAGGCTGCAGAACTGCCGTGTCGTTTGTAGAGATGAAGGAACGACTTGATGCAGCAAACAACAGAGTTCTAAGAAGATCATTAACATTTTTAGACATGATCATCCTGTTTACTTTCAAGGTCATTGGTGTTTGAAATTTATTAAATATATTCTGAAAGTCACTGTGAACAGGAGGGCAGGTTTCATCCATGGCTTTTAGGAAAGTTCTCTCATGCACATACAGCACTTCCTGCCACGTTGTCCTCACACAGCTCAGCCTTTTCGGTCACCATTCAGTTTTGCTTGTGCCAGTTATTTATTTAGTCTTGTTGCTGACGGGGCAGAGAGAAAACCAATAAAGTGCACTGTTCCCGTTACATTCTAGAAACAGAATACCATTTACCCTTGACCCAGAGCCACCTTATTGGGCCAGAAACTTGTCCAGGTAAGTAGGAGTGAGAGAGCAAGTCCCGGTTCCCTGTGTCTTCTCCAGGGGCCTCATTTGCCCTGAGTCAACGGCAAATCTTCCAGGGCTGCTCCACGGCTCACAGCTGGAACCCATCACCTGCATGTCAACAGAAGGTTCTAAAATTGTAACACAGACTTCCAGGGCAGGACATGCCCCTTGGGAGGTGCCTTGTGACACGCAGGACAAATTGTAAAGGTTAAACCCAAAATCAATATAAAAATGGACCATGGGAAAAGTGACCCAGGCACACAGGGAAGGAAGAGAGATCACGGGGGGAGAGAAGGGCCAGGAATGTTCTGCAGGTGCTCACGGCAGAGCCGCCCGCCCTCCCACCCGATCCAGGCATTTACTCAGCGAAAGGCAACTGCGAACTGAATCTTTAAACTTTTTTATAAAAACAAATTTCTTTAAGCCTCTCCTTTGTCACTATGCCCTATGGAGAATGCTGAGATGAGACACAAGCGATCTGGTTTGGCACGGGGTGTAATGGAAGCGCAAGGCCCAGGAGAGAGGGAGTGTCTTGAGGGAGGCAGGGAGCAGGGCAGGTGTGAGTATGGACTTGGGTGAGCACCCAGTGGGGCGGGACTCGCGCACAGTGGGTAAGGGTGGCTGGTCCTGCAGAGGGAGCCGTGAACAAAGCCGAAGGGGCGGGGGGCCTTCGGCATCCCAGCGGCTGGCCAGCCTCCCAAAGGGAAGGGAAGAGTCGGGAGATTCAGGATGTTTGCTTCAGGGCCTCCCAGATGGCATCAGCTCTTCCCGCCCGAGACGTGGTCCTCGAGGCCTGGCTTTCTCCAATGGCCACTGTCTCCCTGCAGTCCAGGCCTTGTGATTGTCTGGGAGAGCATGGCTTTGAGGGACTGCAGAGGTTGCCTTTGGGGGCTGATCAGCCCAAGGCTTTAAATTGTTTTTAGACATCGATGAAACTGTTATTCCTCTGATAATGTACCTTTCCCTTTAAACCTTACAGCTCCGTGAAGGTCAGACTGTGAGGAGAAACTGCCCCTGGGTGCTCTGTCTCCTGAATGTGCTAGCCTTGTCTAGTTCCTGACTCGGTTCAGCTTTCTCGTCTAGGGGCCCCTGGCTTAACTCCCATAGGAGGCCAGGTGGGGGGCAGGCCGGCCAGGCATTGAGCTCACAGCGCTGGCCTCCTCTGAGCTCTGGGCGTGTGTCTGCCACTTAGAAGGGAGCACAGAGCCCCCTCTCCTCTCCCAGCACCACCTCGGGCTGTTTGTGTGCCTGCCCCACGAGGCCTGGCCTGTGCTGGAACTCGCGTCCTTCAGGAGGGCTGAGCCTGGCAGTAGCACGGGCTTGGAAGTGCGGGCTCTGGGGCTACCTGGGCAGACACTGGCTCTGCCATTTACGAGCTGTGTGACCTCGACTGAACAAGTGCCTTATGTAACCTCTCTGGGCTTCAGTAAAGTGGGCCTAATAATCCCTCATGTAGAACAAGAGGGCCTGGGGGCGCCCGGGTGGCTCAGTTGTTAAGCGTCTGCCTTTGGCTCAGGTCATGATCCCGGGGTCCTGGGATCAAGCCCCACATCGGGCTCCCTGCTCGGCGGGGAAACCTCTGACCCTCCCCTGTCTTGTGCTTTCTCTCGCACGCTCTCTCAAATAAATAAGATCTTTAGAATGAGAGAGTGCACCATAAATGCTAGCCTTTTAAGGAGCATGTGGATTTTCAACAAGGAGAACACCTAGGCCTAGCTCTCTACGAGGCAGTGATCGTTCAGACGCTTCAGGCATCCAGCACCGTCTTGACGACATTGAGGCGGCTGCAGAGTCCTCCTGGCTGCGGCCGAATGGAAGGCCAGAGGTTGGGAAGAATAAACGAGGGACAGGCGAGCAGGATGAGGCATCTGGGGACAGCCGCCAGAGTGACAGCCCTGCATCCAGCCGTGAGGTGTCTGCAGCCTGTGCCAGCGCCGGGAGGACGCGTGCCCGCAGGACGCCCTCCCCCACGGCCAGGCCCGGACACGCCTGTCAGGAGAAAACCGATCCCTGACAGGAAGTAGATCAAGAGTGGGAAACAGCTGAATTCCCAGAGAGACCAAGTGGTTCCTGTGGGTTGCTTTACTCAAACCCGTTGTCCCTGAACTTTCCAGCTGCTGCCTTATCTTGCCTTGCTATCGGAGAAACTGGAGAAGAGAAAGACCCACGGGTCATCCGGCCCGTTCCTCCCTGGACTCTGTGGCTCATTCTTCCCACAGTCCGTCCGCTAGGATTCTGCCCCGTCTCGTTTCCAGGTGGCAGCGTCCCCTCTTGTGCCTTGGGAAGTCACTCACTCCACAGCCCTGTGGCCGAACCCCAGGGGATCCCACCCTGGCCAAGCAAATGACCTCCTGTTTACCTTTTCTGTCCTCACCCCCTCCTCTGCGGCTCAGTATCTGGAGAACTCGGGAGCGCTTAGGGCAGTGAGGGACAGAAGCGCTCGGAGCATCCGCACTGGCCTCTTCAGAAGCAGTCCGGAGGCCTTCAGCCAGAGTTCACAGGGGTAGCTGGCTCCTGTGGCCAGAGCTGCTGCCAGGCCCCGAACTTCGCCACGCTGGGCAGCCCCCTAGTGTGGTGGCCCCGGCCATGGTTGGGGACCCCAGCGAGACTCCCCTCAAATTTACCGTTGCCGTGACTGAGAGAGCGGCTCCAAGTGGGCCTCTTCCTGGCTGGGGGGCCACAGGGTTTCCTCCTTTTGGGGCACTGTCTTTCTGGTGTCTCAAGCATGTTTCGTTTTGGCCTTTGTAAGGCTAAACTTCCTAGGGCCTATGACTTTACCCCCGGCCTCCTTCGCAATGAGAGCTCCTCCCAAGTCCACGAGCCCACCTCATCCTTGGGATGATCAACAAGTAAGTGGTCTGACCATCCCAGTAGGACGGTGCAGAGGGCCTGGCACGGAATCGGGATCAAACAGGCCAGTTTTAATGACCGTTTCCACCCACTGTGCGACCTTTGGGATTTTAAGCAAGTTTATTTTAACCTCACTGAAGCTCGGTTTCCTCATCTCTAAGTAGGAAGAATGAATATCTACTTGATGGGGTCATTTCGAGTGAAAGAGTAAAATGCTTGGCATGGGGTCGTAATTATTAACCTAGCTCTTCTGTTTCCTTCTCTCTGTCGGAACTTGATCTGGCATGGCCCAGAGGCTCCCAGCCCTCCCTTTGTAGCATTAGAAGCAGTTAGGATATAGGGACTCAAGACCAGCACCCCACCAAGGGAACCCTAAGGGCCCAGGCTCTGTTCCCGGGTGCGGAAGAGAAGTAGCTGGTGCCAGGGCAAGAATGGCAGCCTGCGGCCATGGTGTATGCCAAGGCGAGGCTCTGGTTTGGCCAGGTGGCCCTCCGCCCGGGCCTGGGCCGCCTTTTCCTGGGAATGGGCACCCAGATACCATCTAAAAGTATGTGAATTCTAAGTGCTCTGGAAACAAAACCAAGGCTACAGAGAAAGTTTAGAAATACAAAATGTAGCCTTCATGAAAAGAAAGTGAACTTCTCCTTGAAGAAAACCAATTCTGACAGGGGAAAAAAGGCAAATCAACTCCAAATGGGATCATGTTTTATTCAGGTTTTGTGCTGCCGGTGGGGAAGGCCAGAGCTCAGTGACAGGATGGGAAAGTGGGACACCCCAACTTCAAGCCTCATCCACTCTGCCATGAAGTACTTCTCGCTTCACTGGGCTCGGCTCCTGGGGACCTCTAATGGCCCTTGATAGCAAACATAGTTAAAAATTAACAGACTGGCAGAATTAAATATGGATGACAAGCAGCCACTGTGGACTTAATCTGACACAGGATGTTACACGCTTGGGTGCCCTCGACCTGAGTGGCGTCTTGAGTGAACTTCTGGGGTGTCTGGGCACATTTCACATGCCTCTTTGAAGGCAAGAACCTGGCTTGTGCTTAGGACAGACAGGGAAAGAGTCTAAAAGCCCAGGAGAGAAAATTATCCCTGAAGGCTTATGGGTAATTAAGCCCGGCCTTGACTGGTCTTAGCAGGAGGTGTTCACAGGGGTCTAGACCTCGTCGCTGCCTGGGCTCAGGCCTCAGCAGCGTGCCACCATCTGCATGGGGAGATCTTGCAGGGGCATAGGGCTGGAGCAAACGTGTTTTTCCAGTTTGGGCGAGCACTGTGTTAGATAGGGCAGGGGTGCTATTTTAAAGAATCCTGTGAGTAGTCCCATAAGGATGATCATCTTTTTTGTATTGCAGATCAATCTAGTCTCTTTGGTGAGTTTGGAGTTTCTTGGACCGCAGTGTGCTCCTGGCTTGGCAGCCTCTCCTTAGCCTGGCAGCCTTCAGCAAAGTTTGCTGTAGGACCTGACGTGCTTTATTCGGTGCTCAGAATGGATCCTTGGGCCTGGAGTGAGCAGGCCAGGGCTGGTTATAACTAAAGAATGTGTGAGTGCCTGGCTGCAGTTGTTTCCATGTTGGGAGAGCCCCAGCAGGGTAGTCAGTGCTCCCTCTCGGGCCCCGTGTAGAAACCTGAATATCCATGCCTTAGAAAGGAGAGCCCGGCTCTGAATAGATGGTGCTGGGGAAATCTGTGTTCAGGTACAGCACCTGCTTCGGGAAAGGTAAGAAAATCTTCACTGCTTCTGACAGATTGGATCAGACATCCAGGGCACCTAGCTGGTCTGCTGGTCTTCCAGCTCTGACTAGTTTTGTTAAGAGCTAGCAACTTGGATGCCGTATTGGCATGCCTCAGCCTCCCAGATCCACCGAAAGTCACCCCCTGGAAGGGGTCTTCCACACCAGCATTTCTCAGCAAGCTCAGGTGAACATAATAAAAAGATTCTGTGGGCAGATAAACTTGGGAAACCCAGGGTTTAAATCAAGTCAAACGGGATTTTTCATGGTGGAACTTCTCGATTCCGCTGAAGGGGCAGAGACCGCATTTCTCTCCAACTTCCTTGACCACAGAGCATCTCTAGACAGCCTGCTTCCAGCCACACTTCTGAAACCTCACACAGGAACAGTGTCTCTCGAACTTGGATGTGTGCATCATCATCTCCCAAAGGGCTTGTGACATGCAGGGACTTGGGTTTCTCTCCCCGGGCTTTCTGCATTTCTGACAAGTTCCCTGGTGATGCCAGTGGGCCAGGGACCACACTCTGAGAACTGCTGGTCTAGACTGATCCCTTTTTTTCATGGAGAAGAAAACAGCACCTGGTAGGCACTTTTCGTGCTATTTCTGAAGGCTGGCGTGGTGAGGACAGGCGGCCCCTGGAAGGGGGTGGGGGTACAGCGCGGGTCCGTGGTCTCTCGCCGCTTGCTCCGCACTGTCTGCCGGAGGGCTGAGGGCTCCGCTCTCGAGACCAGTCAGGGTCTTCCTGTTCGGCAACATGCTCGGAACTGTGAATTCTGTATGTACTTCCCTCCGCTGGGCCTTAGTTTCCTCATCTGTAAGTGGAAGAGGATAGAAACGACTTTTATGGATACTTACTACTTTCTCTAGCACTCCAGTTTATTTTTGCTCTGGGGTATTTCTGTTTCTGGGTGTTCTCCTCCCCTGTCCGAGCTCTCATACACGCCGCGGGAGCCAGTGCCATCCGTGCTGAGGTGGGGGGGACCTCAGTGTTACTTTGCAGGGCCACTGTGTTTTCGAAGAGCATTCCCGAAGAAGTGTGGTGGTGGAATCCCGTACAGCTGTCCCCCGGATAGTGAACCGGACGGTAACGACTCGGCAGTACTGAGTTGGAGCCGAGAAGCGTCCCGGCGTCTTCCGGGTGCTTCTGGGCCCACAGGCCGCAGTGCGTGCGTGCGTCCGTGCGTGCGTGCGTGCGTGCGTGCGATGGTGTGCTTAGCGGTCTGGCGGAGCGAGCAGCGGTGTTGCCGTGGATCACGTATGTCGGTAGAGGTTCTTCTAGGGATGTGAGAAGCTCTTGGGATCGTAGGCAGGGTTGTGAGTGTGCAGTTGGGAGGGTGTGTGCGCGCGAGCTCACGTGCAGTTTTCTACAGACAGGATCCTGTCTTACATGGAAGGCCAATGGCACAGATGTAGCGCTGCTGTATTGTCCGTGGGCAGGGCGCCAGGGAAGCACAGGTCTCTCCAGTGTTGACGACGCTCTACAGCAGCCGCTGGGCAGTGGCCCGGAGTGGCCACGAGTGACCCGGAGCCAGAAGCCACAGCAGAACAAGCAGCCCAGGTGGGGGTCCGCCCCCCCAGCCCCGTCCCGGAGGACAGCAGTAGTTAGCACCCAACAGCTCGCTCGCCTGGACCAGCGCGGGGCAGGCAGCTCAGGCTCGGCCGGGCGGGGGCGCTGCCCTCTGCTGGCAAGTGCCTGCCACTGCACACCTCCGAGCTGAAAGCGGAGTGAGAAGGGCCACCCTTTTGGCAGGGGCTGTGGTGTCCAAGCCATGGGGCACAGAGTGATGAATTTCGGGGCCTCTCTTGACTCCATCACCACCACATCCTCCCCGAGAATCAGCCAGCGGGCCATCTTCAGCTCGGCTGAGCTGGGTACGACTTCTCCTAGAGCCCACAGCCCAGAGTCAGTCTGCTTAGCACCCTGGAGTGCTCAGGGGTTCTAGACCAGGCTGACTACAGGGCTCCGGGTTTGAGGACGGTGTGGGTGGAAGAGGCCAGCATGCACCCGAGGTTGGCTGAGGCTGGGGTGGGCGTGTGGGAGATGAAGGGCTTCCTTCTCGCAGTCACTGCCACCAAAAATCATGCCATCCACTGCGCCCCCACCCCCTGGTCAGACCTCCCTCTTCCTGTGTCTCTGAAACACCAACATGTCTTGGCCTCGTGGGGCTCAGCGCCCCGGCCCCACACCCAGGCAGCACCAGTCGCCACCACCACGCTCCCTCCGACTCCAGTGCACACAGACCCATCCCCTCCCGCTGTGTGTTTAGGTTCCCAGCTCCCCAGCTGCCATGGGGCTGTGCCCCCGTCCCCTCCTTTACCACCTGTCTCAGGAAGGGAGCTCGAACTCTGCCCTTTGCTTAGTGAGCAAGTGGATTCAGATGCACAAAGCCATAAGCCATGGGTAGGTATGAAATTTTTGTCTTTCACTCACCCTCTCCTCCCTTTTGCCTCCTCCTCCTGCACCCCTGTACTCCTCTCTCCCTTTTCCTTCCTATCCTCCCACACTTCCCTTCTTTATTTTTCTCTTCTTTATCCTGCATATACTCCTAAATTCACAAAGTGACATGTTTTTAGCCTACCTGTTTGCAAAGAATTTCTGGTCCCTCATCCCTTTAATTGCTATTGAGTGTTGAAAATGACTCTGGCCCTGCCTTAAATGAACTTCACTACCTGCTGGTGGCTCCCGAGGAATACAGCTTTGCCCTCTCACAATGAGGGGGACCCCCTCGAGCTGGTGATCTGATTTCTAAGAATATCCAGTGTGATGCCCCAAAGGATCTCTCATGCGCAGCTGGCCCAAGGAGTTCCCTGACCTGGATTCCTGGCATGGGGAGAAGCTCAAAACGCATCTGTGGTCCTTTTAAGTCTTCATTTCCCAAGTAGGTGAGGCCCCAAGTTGGGATCGAGTCCCCCAGTGTGGCCCATCACCCTGCATTGAGAGCCAGAGAGGAAGGGGAGGCCCATGGGGTAGAAGGAAATGCTGAGGACTTCTGCATGTAGACCGAGACCAAAGGCTGGGCATCCTGTGTGAGCTCTGTCTGGGGGCCCACTCCTAGACCAGTCAACGAGGGCTAGTGGAGCCTGTGCCCTGGATCCTGACCCCGCTGGGTTCTGTGCCCGTGGGATGTCACTCAGAATACCCAGCTGTCAATGGATTTCCCCACATGTAAAAGCAGGTTAGAAGAGGCAGGAGGTCTTCATCAATCCCCCAGCACCCCCGGGTTCTGCGGAGTTTCCTTGCAGGTTCCAGGCCCCCTGCACTTCCACCTCTGCCAGGATGCTGCTTCATCTGTTTATGTTTTGGAGATCTGAGTAAGATGCCATGTGAAAAGGGGGTTCTCAAGCAAAATCTCTTCTATTAAACCATCGAAGTCCATTTGCCCGGGTAAAGTTCCCTCCAGCATTGCATTCTACTCTAGAAACGTGTTGGGCCAGACCCAGGTCGAAGATCCATCTTTCTCCTCCTGCCACACTGGGGAGGATGCCGCTCTCCACAGAGCCATCCAGCCCTCCTGCGCATCTCCCTCCCTTTGATGTAATTGCTCTCCCTCCCCCACTCCCAGCTGCCTGTGTTGCGGGGAGGCCATGCCTCCTCCGGGGAAACGGGAGCAGCGGTAAATGGGCATTTCTTGTTTCTGGCCAAAGGCTGCGGGGCAAAACTGACGTTGCTGACAGATGGACATTTGTTAAAGCCAAAGTGTTCTTGCCCTTTTGTTTGTTTCTTCACACTTTCCTCAGCACAGGAGCGGGAACATTCTGCCAAGTGGACAAAGTATCACTCAGTCCAATTGTTTTGTTGCTGGCCTTCCACTTTGGAAACTTCATGGAAAAGATGGGTCTTCCTCAGCAGAGTGAGCGGAGGGCTTGGGGTACCAGATACCCCATAGGGCTGAGAAGCCAGAACCCCGTTTCTAAAAGAACAGCAGCAGAAGCTCAAAGATGTCCAGGCCGGCTTACTGGCATGGATGGGTCATGAACGCGTCCCTCCCTTACCGGAGCAGATACGTGTTTCCACACCCTGCTGAGCAAACCAGGAGACGGCCTGTGCCCTCGGCACAGCTCTGCTGAGCGGGTGCAACCAAAGGGACTCGCTGGGCCAGCCTCAGGCCAGGTCTGGCCAGGCGGCGGCTGGCTGTTCACCGTGGCAAGGAGGGTGGGAGCGGGGGAGCTGCTGGGCCCGGCCCGCTCCCTGGGGCGGGCGCTCTGCTGACAGCCTGGCCCGTGTTCACTAAGGGCACGTGGACGACCCCTCGGGCTGCTGTTCTGGTCCCCTGCGCCGCCGGCACGTGTAAGTGGGCTCCGGCTCGGAATGGTGAAGGCGGCGGCAGCCTGGCAGGCTGCTCTGTGGGGAAGGAGACCGTCCAGTGGGAGCCCTGCTTCACCGCCTTCTCCCCACGTGTCTTTCCAGATGCGCTGGCTCCCTCCCTCCGAGGCTACTTCTCAGGGCTGGAAGTCCCGTCAGTTCTGCTGAATGCTATGTAAGTACTTGGTTTGCGCGGCCGCTGCGAGCCCCGGGCGGAGCAGACGTCCGGGACGTGGGACGCGCGGCACCCACACCTTCCAGACTGCCTGTTACCTGTGGTCGCCCGTCGTCCTCAGACCACTGGCGGGGCTCCTCTGTGGCCTTGCGGCGCTGCCGGGGCATCCGCCCGGGGTTGAGGGAGACCAGGGATGTTACCCTGTCCGCGTCTCATCCCGGTCTTCGCCGTCCTAACTCAGCAGCCAGCGCTGCTTCCGGGCCGTGTCGGGGGCCGGGGGCCGGGACACCGGATGACGCAGCGGCAGTTCACCCGCTGCCCGCGTCACTCGGCCACCGGCCTCCGCTGCCCCCAGGGCGGGCTCGTGGGACCCTCGGCCGTTGATCAGAACTGACTTCCACGCGTGTGTGCGTGTTAGAGCTTGGGCCAAGCTCTCCCTAGTAGGCTTGCCTTACAGTGTCTGGTCTCGAAGGAAACAATGTGCTGAATGGGCATCTTTGCGCCTAACCTTGCTTCAGGGAACTACCAAGTCAGTGTTTTTTCTCTAAATGTATAATTTGGGTAAAATTCCAAACGCCGCCTTTAATTCGGTATCTTGACTGGATCTCTCTTAAATACAAAGCACTGTTACTCTGAATTCTGATAGGGTGTGTGAATTTGGGGGGGTCTGCCCTCAAGGAAAGTCTCTGAGATGACACAATTCTACAGTCTGCGGTTTCTCTTGGTTTATATCATTCCTTCACAAGACAGGAAGAAAAATGAGTGTAGGGAGGGACCAGAGCTTCATCCATTTAGAAATGCTAAAGAGATCATGGAGAATTATGTACATAACTATACCTGATGCTGATCTTTTGAAGGACATATGTGGGAAAAACTGGCCTCCGGTTGACTTAGGTTCAGCTTCAGTGGGGAGTCACAGAGGTCAAGGCCCTCCTAGTGAGGAGGAAGGAGAGCACTGAATAGGCTTTTCAAAGAGTTCTGGGATTTATTTTCCACAGGCAAGTTGCCCTGTTGACCCGAAGTCTCGCTTGGTGGGTCATGTCACCTTCATTTCAATTTCCAGGGTGACTGCTGAGCGTGGACTTCACTTGCTGAAGTCTTTACCACCATAAGAGGCCAGCACTTATAGAGAGCTCCAGTCCTAGGTCGGAAGGCAGGCATCTTTGTTCTGGAGGAAGGGCCTCACCACACAGGAGGATGGTGGTAGGCAGCAGACCCACGCCCTAGCTGGTCAGGATTCTTGCTCTGCTGGTGGGGTAATGAGTAAGTTGATGGATCACATTTCTCTGCTTTAAGACATCAACTCAATAAGTTAGAATTGTGCCTATTCTTCCCCTAACCAGACCTATTTCTGAGTGTGGCCAGAGCAACACTAGTCCTTGGGGATGATTGGAGGCAGACTACATAAATGTTGCCAAGGTCAAACAGAGTTAAACACTTTTTGGGTTTTTTTGTTTTTTACCAAAAGATTCTTGGAACCTTTCTTATAACATGAGCATCATGAATCTGTAAAATTAGGGAACTCAGGGATGCAGGATTCCTCAAACTCATCTGAGACAAGGGAGCCCTCTCTTTCACAGACCCTTAGGAGAATGTTGTTTTACATAGAGCACATTTTGGGAAACCATGCCCTAATCTCTTATCCGGAACCCAAACCAGTGACACCCACATACAGAGATCTTTGGGCCAGTGGTCATTATGATAGAGTTACCACTAATCTGTTTATGATGAGGGAAAAATTAGGACAGTGTTAGATTTTTTTTTTAAGCTGCTTGTATTTGTCCCTTATTCTGAAATTATGTTGTATGTGTGTTCAAGTACCCATTTTACATGAGATGGTAAATATCCGTGAATGGCAATTGCACTTTAAATGTAGTTTCTTAGAAAAAAAGTCAGTAGTCCATGGTAGATACCGGAAGTATTTAAAGTATTTTACTCTTTTGTGAAATATAAAAGTTTGCTGCTTAGGGGGGACTTTTTCTTCCTGGAAACACAGTTTGTAAGCTTTGAGGTATATTCTGGGGTCCATTATGTCCAGGACTTCCCAAGTCCATGTGCCATACCCGCATGCCCATAATTAATTTTTAAAATGACATGTCCCCAGCTCTCTGTTCTTTCTTCGTGCACAAAAGCCTTAGTCATTTCGTCACAAGGGACCCTGCCCCCGTTGCCAGGGCGAGGCGGGTGCAGCCCTGTCGTCCGGCTCCAGAAGGCACTGAGCGATCATGCGCTCTGCCTCCCGTGACCGTGCGCTCATCCCTCCGTTCTCAGAGGCTGCTAGGTGTTCACCCGCAGGTATACCCAGGACTGTGTAACTGGGATTTCTGAGGCTCGCAGAAGAGTTGATGGGTTGGGGGTCGATCTGGCATTCAGCATAAGCAGGTAGTTGAGGAAGTTGATGAAACCAGAAGAGCGGTCAGTGCGACACAGCCTGGAGGCTCACCTGGCCGTAGGGTCCACAGAGGACGAGTGCCCGGAGGAGCCGGTGAGGGCTGGAGCCCAGAAGGGCAGTGGTGAGCTGCTGTGGTCAGCAGTAGCAGATGGTATAGGAAACTTGAGTAAGATGAGAGAATACCTCCGAACCCGGCAGTTGCAGTTGGCCGAGGATGGTGGTGGCACAGGGCCTGAGGAGGGATTTTTTTTTAAGCATTTATATAGGCCAAAGGGAGGCATGATCGTTAAGCAGCGGCACGGTTCCAGCCAGTGGGATCCTGCCCTTTGTTTCTATCCGCTCACCTAAGTTGTTCCAGATCATCCTTCCCCACAGACCTTCCCACCAGAGACCTAGAGGCAGCAGTGGCTACCGAAGAAGGCCTAGCGGGTTCCCCCTTCGGAAGTATGGCTTGTGAAGCTGTCGGACCCATCTGCAGGTGCAACATCTCCTTGGATGCACCGTTTGTTCTGAGCTAGACTTGGGCCACGGGCCAGACTCCTTCCTCGGGGTCTAGAGGGCGCAGAGGAGGGGCAGTAGGCAAGGAGGATGGATAATTGCACTTATTACCACCGCACTTGGGGTTAGGACTCTAGTGTCCCAACCTGCGTAAGGTTAGACCAGTTCAGTGTGGATCCGTTACTCAGGCTCCTTCTAGTCTCTTGGATCAAGTCCTTGAGCTAATAGTCCAGGCTGCGTAATCTTAGGGAAATGCAAGTTAGACTTGAGAACAGTGGTTCTGATGAAACAGTAAATATTTTAGTGCAAAACGGGTCTTTCAAAAAGGCCAAATGTAGGATAGGTGCGGCCAGTGACGTGGCCTTCCTCTGTTTGCCAGGGCGCAGCGGGTGTCCTTCCTCTCTGGGAAGATGGCACCCGAATAGAAGACAAGAGCAGGAGTGATGGCTGGTATCAGACATGACGGCCTATACATAGACCCAGACCGGCGCTCACTCCCCACACGTGGAGCTCTGGGGGCCACCCTTCCAAGTCCTGAAGCGCCCAGGCCCTGCAGGGGGTTTTCATTTACTCACTTTGACCTCCTACTGGGAAATCAGGGACTAGACTAGAAAAGTAAACAAGCTCTTTATTCTTTAAGTAAACATATGTGTCCAGTATGTGCTAGATACGAAAATGTGCATGCAGACCAGGCCTGTGCCCCTGAGGAACTCCAGTTCTAGTGAGTGGGAGTCATGGATATACATTTTAAAGGGAAAGAGTTCCTGCTGAGGATGCTCCAGGATGGGCTTGTGAGGAAAGCCCCTTGGGTGGGGGTGGGGGTGTGCATGTGTTTACCGTCATCGGTGGCAACTTAAGACCATCAGAGGGGTGGTGTCATTGGTGTTTTAATTTGTTCAGCATCCTGCTTGATGGTGTTTAGTCTGGCTACAAGCTCTGTCTGCTCATCATTGGAGTTTTGCTAATGGTCCAGCCATGGGCTGGACAACCCCAGATTACATGATAATCATTGAAAACGATCCATTTCCCAGATGTGTTGAGAACAGGAGAGCATGAGCAAGTTTTTAGTAACTCTTTAGAGGGAATGAGTTACACAGCCTTCCTTGTTGGGTATCCAACAATGTAGTTAAATCAAAAAGAGAGAGAGTTGGGAACCGGGGGTGGATGTGGGAGGGCGTTAAGAACTCCGAAAATCTCCCTGGCCTAGGACCAAGACCATAGCACCCAAATTACAAGCACATGTAGTTACAGCATCAACAAATGAGAGAAGGACACGGCAAGAGATAGTAAGACCGGAATGTAAAGCTGTGTATTCCTCATGTTTTGTTTTGGGAGGAACAGCCTCGTCTGTCTCTGGCTGTGAGCACGAGGGCCTTGGGGATGCAGCCATTGTCCGGGGAGCCCCAGGAGCCGGATGTCAGGCAGAGCTGGGAGCTCAGACAGCGCTGTGGTCCTGCAGGCACCCCTGCCTTCTCCCTAGAAGAGCCCCGGGTGGGACGTCTGGGTGGCTCAGTTGATTAAGCATCTGCCTTCGGCTCAGGTCATGATCCCAGGGTCCTGGGATTGAGCCCCACATCGGGCTCCCTGCTTGCCAGGAAGCCTGCTTCTCCCTCTCCCACTCCCCCTGCTTGTGTTCCCTCTCTTTCTGTCAAATAAATAAATAAAATCTTTAAAAGAAGAAGAGGAGGAACCCCGAGGCGCCGTGCCCAGGACCCAGGGCAGTGTTTGCCCTGAATCGCCACTCCCCCTCCTGTTAACCACGGTCTGTGTGTCTCAAGTTCGTTAGCACAGTCACTATCCAGTGAACATCTGCAGCAAGTAAGGGACTGTTTTGGCTGCTAGGGATACAAGGGTAAGAAAAGCAAACAAAATCCTTGCCTGCATGGAGCTGACCTCCATTAACAGGGGGGAGATGGATCATAAATCACTAAGACACACACTAGGTCAGGCGGTGAGACGGGCTGAAGGGAAACTAGCAGAGCGAGGGAGGGGCTTCGTGTGCCACGGGGGAGCGCGGGGCTCGCGGGGCCCGGGGTCAGCCTGGCGCTTACGGTCAGGCAGCGACCCAGAGCTTCCCCAGATTCATACGGGCTTCCTTGTTCAGAACAGGCTCGCTTGACTCAAGTTTAGAGAATAATTGAACCTCTCCGGTCTTCTTGCCTTCTCCTTTGCTGAGTCCAAGTGAACAAGCTTGCGCACAGCAGGCCTTCGCTGGGCCAGGCGTTAGGGGAGCAGAGAACACCCCGCAGCCGGCACGGTGTTGCCCTGGTCCTGAGTCCCCGAGCCCGGGGTCTGTTCGGTTCTTGTGTGAGCTGTAGGGATGGGCCCGAACGCCTGCACCGTGTCCGCGACTGGGGACCCGTCCAGCCACTGCCGTGCCCTCCCCGTTCCGTAAGGGAAGGCACCACAGCCCTCTGCTCGCCACACGGGCGCTGAGCTCACCTACGCGCCGCACCCGGGCGGTCCGAGCGGTGATTTCCCTGCCTTGGCCCGTCCCCTGAGCGTATGCACCACGAGAAGTGCCTGACGGTCCCCGGAGGAAGTTAAAAGAGGGTGGCCGAGTATGAAGACCCGGCCATGGGGTCTCAGCGCCTTCACGGGGCAGGTGAGGGCCACCTACAGGAGCCCCTGCCCCACCCCCACGCCACACGCGCCCGACACTCGGCTGGAAAGGGACATTCGGAAGGCCTGCGTGCTCGCTGTAAGGTCACAAATGAACACATTCAGACTTCCCTGCGGTGTTCTCTGTTCTTTGCGGAGTCGTCTTGGGGGTCCCTGTAGGACAGACTGGCCCGTGTGTGCTCCCTGTCCACGGGGGCCGCCCTGGTGTGCGGACAGGTGCTACTGCTCTCCTCACTGCAAAGAGCAGCCCGGTGACAGTGCCCCGTGCTCCTCACCCACCGGTCCGGAGTCACCCCAATGAGCTTCAGCCCAGACGCCTGGAGGGATGTGGCCATGGGTGGGACATCCTAAGCAGCAGGTGCCCCGAGTGCCACGCCGGTCTGGCCGTCCCCAGAGGTGCGGGAGGTGGGGAGAAGTTGGGGGAGCTGATAAGTTTTATGTACAAAGATGAATATTTCGGGGCACCTGGGTGGCTCAGTCGTTAAGAGTCTGCCTTCGGCTCAGGTCATGGTCCCAGGGTCCTGGGATCGAGCCCCACATCGGGCTCCTTGCTCAGTGGGGAGTCTGCTTCTCCCTCCGCCTGCTGCTCCCCCTGCTCATGTGCTCTCTCTCTGACAAATAAAATCTTCAAAAAAAATAAAAAGAAGATGAATATTTCTTTTCCTGTCCTCAACCCAATTTTCACTAGGAAACTGGAATTACATCTGTTAATTCTTTCATAATGTTTTTAAAGTGGAAATCTGGGCAAAACTTTCTTTTTCCTTAGTTCTGAGAAGAGAGATGTCCTAGGAGGGCAGTCTTTCCTTCCGGCTCACCCATAACCCCAGCGGAGGGTCTCAGCCCAGGCCCAGCCTCCCTGTCGAACCCCCGGGGGGCATCTTCCCGTGCCAGCAGACCAGGGAGGCCTCTGTGGGGAACTCGGGGTTCACGGCAGTACCCTGCGCACTCCTGGTCACGAAGCCCCGTGTGCCCAAGTCCGCCTGTCAGTCTGCAGGCAGGAGGGCTGAACACGCAAGAGATGTTAGCAGGGAAGAGGGCCATTGGCATCCACGCGCCGGGAGGCCGGCGTCCTTCCTTGGCTCCAGGAATTCTCATGAAAACCAGCTGGCTCAGAGGCAGTCATGCCTGCGGAAGAATATTAAAAATTTATGATCTTCTGGGTCTCGGCACCTTCATATTTCAAAATTCTCAGACCCCTGGGAACAGGATGTAGTCACAAATGTTTCCTTTTAGTTTTTGTTTTCCAGAAGGTGCTTGGAGCAAAGTTGAGCTCATTGATGCACGTGACAGCACAGGATCCTCCTGGAGAATTGCTTTTGTGGCCTGGGGCTGACCAACGTTGTTACTGTGGTCTGAGGCAGCTCCTGGAGCTGGATAGGTTTGGGGTGCTTCCTCTCTCTGGGGGGCTTCAGGTCCTCCACCTCTCCTCGACAGGGCTCTTGAACAGGCCTGGGGGTCCGGCCCTCGGAACTCGGCGCGGCTGCCTTGCCTCCTGGGCCGGGCGGCCTGCTGTTGCCGCAGCTTCAGCCTGGCCCGTCCCCCACGACGGACACGCGCCTACTCGGGTGAACGTGTGAAGACCGCGTCGCCCACAGCACACTTGGGTCCAGAGTCCCTTCCCCTCCGGCCTTGGGGCCAGGGAGCCCCGGCAGCCACACTCCACCGCCGGGGCGCTTTCCCTCTGACCAGGCCCGAAGCCCGGGGTCCCCGTGGGGAGCTGCCGTGCCGCTGGTGTGGTCATCCTCGCCGGGCACTTGTCCTCAGCTCCACCGTGGCGGCCTTGGGCCCTTTGCCACTGACTCTCCGTTCTTTGCTCGCAGAACAGGCTGGCCTTCGGAACCCAGGGAACCCCAAGGGCAGACCAGCTCTGGGGTTGGAAATGACAGCACACCGTTAATGGGTGATTTCTTTCTCCATCCCAGGTTCCAGGTGTGTGATGGTGGCTGCAATCTGTCTTGTGGGTATTAATGCAATCTTCACTGGTGGTTGCTGTGCTCAAGCCGTTCTACCAGACTGGAGCATGCTGGTGAGTCCCACAGTCAGAGGCCGGACAGGCCCTCTGGGGAGGCAGCGTGTCCCGGGCAGGGCGCGGTGATGGAGACCAGTGTGGTCGGGACCGTCACCCCAGCAGTCTAGGTGTTACCACCTCCCCCAGGTGATCCTGGTGGGTGCTCTAGGTTGAGACGCGATGGTATAGAGCACTGGGGTCAGGGGTTTGCTCTTCATGATCTCGTCCAGCCACAGCGTGCTTAGGGAAGGGCGTCTGGGAGGGCAGTGGCGGGGGGGGGGTCTGCAGACCCTCCGCGCACACGGTGAGGCCACCTGCACATGCTCAGGCCGCAGCCATGGAACGAGCCATTCCGCCATCGGGAATTTACAGATAAATGACACTTTCCCCTTTTAAACCCTTATGCCTTTTCTGGAAATGCACCATTTTGGTGAGCATCTTTTAGAGATAGTATGTATATTCCTCCTGACTTCATCCACTTGTACTGAATACGGTGTAGCCCTCTCTCGGTGACACCAAGACGTGTGCATGAGCCTCTTTGGAAAGAAGAGTGGTTGTCCTTGGGCATAGGCAAATGAGGCAGGGCTCTCACTGGACTCCTCCAGACTCTGGGCTTCCTGCCGGCCGGTGATTTTGGTGATTGTTCATCTCTTCGAGCGGCCCCTCAGCTTCTAGTAGTAAGCGTAGTCTAAAACAGTAATGTAGCGTTCCCGCAGGTGACTGGCCGCTGGCTGCCACACAGAGGGGCTACCAGGCTCTCTGGAAAACTTGGCCTAGAACAACAGGAGTACCAAGGGCAGGCCCACAGCGGTTATGTCTCGGCCCAAATAAGGTGGCAAATTTCATCCCTACAAGGGGCCAATGAAGAAAAGATGAGTCAGAAAGAGGGCAAGATTCCTGCTAAGGACAGAGAACCAGGCAGATCTAGCCAAGGAGGTCATTACCGCATTCTTGGGACTTAGGTAATTTCTTGCTCTCAGAGTAGAGCCCATCCAGAGGCAGGCACATCGTGTGTGCCCCAACGGCCTGCACTTGGGGTCTTTCCTCCCACTGACCAAACTTAACAGGGAAGCGTTTTCCACATCGTGTAGGGCAGCTAATGTTTAATCCCACCAATTCCTTAGCCTTCTAATTTATTGGGTGGTTCTTTTGTTGTCATGGTTCTTAATAACAGTGCCCACTCTATTCTTACCAATATTATCACCCGGTAAAACTTTTTTTTTTTTTTTTTGAGATTTTCTTTTATTTGAGAGAGCGAGCGAGCGAGCAAGCACGAGTGTGAGTCGGGGGGAGGGGCAGAGGGAGAGAGAATCTCAAGCAGACTCCATGCTGAGCACGGAGTCCAGCCTGGGGCTCGATCTCACAACCCTGAGATCATGACCTGAGCCAAAATCAAGAGTCCGAGGCTTAACTGACTGAGCCACCCAGGGGCCCCCGGTAAAACCTGCTTAAAGGACAAGATATTGTTGGTTCCCCCCCCCCCAACACACAC